GGTCTTCATTAGTGGCACCCAGCCGGGTGAAGGCTTCACGAGGGCTGTTAAGCACTGTGGTTAAAAAATGATCAGCTTTTGTGCCTGGAGTTGAAGGTTTAAGTTACCTGAACCGGAAAGAGTCTGAAGAAGCGATTATGTTTAAGCAAGTAATGTGTATCGGTAACATGGAATGGAATTATTAGGGTCAGTAACTTCCTGGCTCTTTCAGTGCATTAAATGAAGACATAATATTGCATTGGTGCCACATGCCTTTTGATGCCACACGGTGTCAGCACTGCCTGGTTGTCCGTTCCTCACAGCACGTCACCTCTAATTTCGTGGGATTATCTGCACCGTCGCTTTGATTCTCTTGCTCTGGAGCTTCCTTTGAACTCATAGCAGGGCAGTGCGATGTCATTATTGTGGATACTTCAGTGCTTTTTTGCATTACCTACAAAATTATTATTGCCACCCTTTAGAAAGGTAAATAAATCCTGCTGTTATGCTTCCCAAAACCTGCACTTGTTGGCAGTAGGAGCCACTGAAGGGAAAACACCGAATACGAAGATGTTTTTGAAGACTTATTTTATTTTGTATGTTTGGAGTACATAATTATTACCTTCCTCGTGGGAAGTGTGTGTACCACATCTCAAATCTTTTTTCATCCATTACCCTTTCCTCCCTCCTCCCGCCCTCTTCCCTCCCTCCACCTTTTGTTCCCCTTCCTTTTTGTAAAGATGGTCTCCCTATTTCCTAATATCTATCTTCTATTTATATTTTGGGTTTCTCATTTAAGGGAAACCATACAATATTTAATCTTCTGCATCTGATTTATTTCACTTAATATTATGATCTCAAGGTACATCTATTTTCCTACAAATAACCCATCTATCCCCCATTATGGCAGGTAGTAGCCCATTGTGCGTAATTGCCAAATTATGAATTTGACTTTTGGTGGGTACAGAGGCCATTTCCAAGATTTAGCTATTATGAATTGTGCTACTATAAGCATGGGTGTGCATGTTTTCTTATAATATGAAGTCTTTAACTCTTTGGGAAGATACCTAGAATGGGAATACCTAAGTGGAACGGAATTTGTTTCTTTGTTTTTTCTTTTTTTCCATATTGGGAATCGAGCTCAGGATGTCAGGCACAGTGCCACTACGCTATATCCTGGGCCCCTGGAATTTCTAGTTTTAATTATCTGAGAAATCTCCCTCCTGATTTCCATAGTGGTTGTATTAGTTTACATTCCCACCAACAGTGTAGAATGGGTTCCTTTTTTCCTTACAGCCTCTCCAGCATTTGCTATTAATTTGATTTCTTTTCTTTTTTTCAGCTTTAATTGAGTTTATTGGTACATTTTAGGGATACAGTACAGTTACATTCATTGTTGGGATCTTGTACCTCTACATGACAGGTCTTAGTTCTCATTTATTCCCCTAACCTCTGCCCTCCCTTCACCCCCTCCTCCTCTCCCCATCTACAAACACTTTATTTTCATCTTTTCATTCTCTCACATTTTTTTCTTTTCCCTTTTTACTCTTCCCCTACCCATCCCACCTTCACTACACCTTTAGCTCCTTTCTTCCCATTTCACAATGTCAGTAATCTTATTAGAATCTTATGCATTGTTGCAAATTATTCACACCAGGGAAACTATTCGGTATTTACACATGTGTGTTGATTTTTTTTTTTTTATTGAGTTTATTGGTACATTTAGGGATACAGTACTGATTTCTTGGTGGTAGCCATTCTCTCTGGAAGAAAGGTAGAATCTCAGTGTAGTTTTAATTTCATTTCTCTAATGGCCAGAAATGTTGAATATATTTTTAGGTGTTTTTTTTTTTTTTTTTTTTTTT